TAAATTATAGATGATAGATTGAAAATCAGAGGGCCAGGGAACTGTGGGACTAACTAAAGATCTAATATACAAGCCATCAGTCAGCTGAAAAAGAATTTGAATAATGGCTGAAAACTTCCCAAATTTAGCACAAGACAAACCTAGATTCAAGCTGAGCCAACCTCTAAGCAGAATAAAAGGAATATACTTCAAGACACATCATTGCCAAACTTCTGGAAATCCAACCTTCTGCCTAGTTTTATCGGAATACAGCAGTATTAAGTTGGAGGGCCAGTCAACATGCAGTAATGAGGAGCCTCTGGGTCGGAGAAGCCCCAAAGGATAGCTGCAGCTGGGGAGGCCTTTGTAACTACAGGGTTTTATCTTAGGACGAGCAGCCATTGGGTACAAGTTTGATGGGTATGCAAAAGCAAGCAGACTCTAAATGGCTAATAGTCTTCTTACACTATTAAAAAAAACAAAACCAACAATTGGAAGTGTACACATTTGAGTTTGGTGCCAGCAGACGTTTTCTGCCCCGGGGGGTTTGGGGGGAGGGTAAGTGGCTAAAGGGTCTCAGCTGGTTATGAAGTGAATCATTTGAGGCCAATACACAGAAGCCATCTCGTTTATTTGCCTTGTTTATGTAATAGCACACATTTGTTTGTTTACACGTTACCTACAGCCACCTTCAAGCTATAGCAGTTGAGATATAACTAAAACCATGTGATCTGCAAGCCCTAAAAAAATTAATTTTGTTGGGGGCTCTTACAGCTCTTCACACAACCCATACATCAATTGTACCAAACACATTTGTACATATGTTGCCATCACTTTCAAAACATTTGTACTTGAGTCCTTGGTATCAGCTTTTACCCACCCTCGTGACCTGGTAAATTATTTTCATCTCTTACACCATCCTGCTGTCTCCCTTGATCTACCTTTACGTCCAAAAACCCAATTTAGTTCATGAACTATAAATGTAGCTAAGCTCACAATATAAGTATTAACCAAAATGACAATTTATAGTTGCTGATAAGTGCCCTTGCATGAGTTCCAACTCAGTGATCTGAAGTACAACAGAAGGAAAGCTGCTCAATTCAAGTCTTCACAATCATTGCTGTTTGAGCTCATGTGGCATCCACTGCGTCAATCCATCTCAGTGAGAGTCTTTCCAGTGACCGACCCTCTACCAAGCACCATGCCCTTGAATATTTAAGCCACCTCTATGGCCAATATAGCCCAGCTATACATGGAAAGCCTTTTCAGATATTTTTTTCAACTTTCTCATGAAAATTTTATACACAAAAAAGCCCACAATTCCCCTTCATTGCTCTCACCCCACATTAACTTCCACCATTCCATAGCTAATCTTATCTAAATTCCTGCATCCCCCTGAATTTTTAAAAGCAAATTCAAGTTATTGTAACTTTTCTGGAAATCCTTTTGTTACTGAAGAGGTTCTCCCACAGGGAGGATATAAGCCAGGAATTGCAATTCTTACTACCATATGGTCTTTGAACGACCCGGTCTCATGCCAAGTAGCACCTAGTTTTTCCAGTGACCCAGTTGCCCACAAAAGGAGTCCTGGTGGCGTAGTGGGTACATGTTGGACTGCCAACCAGGAGGTCAGCAGTTTGAACTCACCATCCACTCCATATGAGAAAGATGAGGCTTCCTGCGCGAGTCTTAGAAACTCACAGGGGCAGTAAGTACTGCCATAGCTAACAGGACTGTCAGAATGGACTCTAAGGGAGGGAGTTTGACAGTGCCTACATGATCCGATTCCTAAATGCCACTCCACTCATCTACTTACCACATGTAGCAGCTTCAGTCACATTCATTTCCTTGAACATACTAAGGATGCTTCTGTATTTATTACAAATGCCCATGGCAAGGAGTTAAGCGGGCAATGAATGTACAAATGCGCTTTACACAATTGGTGTGTGTATGGATTGTGGTAAGAGTTGTATGAGCCCCTAATGAAATGATTTTTAAAGAAAAATCCCCAAAGAAACTTAAAAAAGAAAAAAAGTTAAGCATTGGGCTAACAAAGTTGGCAGTTCAAGCCCACCCACTGCTTCACAAGAGATTATCTGGAAAATGTTACAGAATCATTAGATTTCCAATCAACTTGATGGTAATGGATTAACAGGCTCTGACACTGATAACAGATCTGTGGGCACAGTTAACCAAGTAATGAAAACCACCTTGGTGTCACAGAGCCCTCAACGGTTGTATAGTCATTTGGAAAAGGTATCAATAAAGGTTATATAACACAAAGCAAAATCAATGGCACTGAATTATACAAGTAGAAGCTGCGAGAACTGGAGAAATGTTCTGTCTTTTTGCCAATTAGAAAAAATACATAATTGACTACAAGGAAGGAAATGTTCTAGAATGGAATATGGTGACAATTACTCTTCTTGAGATCAATTACTGAATTGTATGACATGTGAAGTGCTAACAAAACTATTTAAAAAAGGGGGGGGGGCTGCTATGGAGAAAAGGCAGAAAGGGGAAGGTGACATGTAATTGTAGGAATGAGTGGAGGTCCCATTGATATGAAAAGCCATGTGAATGATCTAAAAACACCAGGACTGAGCCAGATGTGCCTGAAGAATAGGACTGTATTCTTTGATATTCCCAGGCCCACCTTGGCTGTGGTGTTACAATATCAAATCTTAGTGGGGAAAACATGCCCCAAAGCTTGGCAGTTCAAGCTCACCGGCCAAAGCATAGAAGCCTTATGACCTGCTTCCTAATGATTACAGGAAAGCACACCTTACTTATACAAGTGGTACTCCAGCTGTTGCTATCCACACCTGTGTCATCAGGCAGCACTGACAATGCAAACTCTACTCTGCCATGTAACCTTTACCACACCCAACAGTGAAGGAGTTTAGGCTGTATAATACTGGAACTCGTTATCCATGTCACCATTTTCAACAAGGGAATTGGCATGTAGAAATTTAGAACGACAATCACACAGCAGAATACATAACCGCTTAGGTCAAGATCGTTGAGTTAACTAGGAAACTCAACAATTAAGTACTTACCTATAGGAAATGGATTTTCTGCGGCAGAAACACGGTTATTTTCTTTACAGGAAGCAGACATCGCCCAGGAGAAATAGCTTAATATACAAGGGGGTAACCCCAGGGGGGGGACATTTTTTTTTTTCAAGCTATGCATTTAAATTTTTGTATAAATGACCTGATCACCTTCAAAGTACTCGCCATTACATTTAATACACAAGTCAAATCTACAATTCCATTCTTGGAAACACTTTTCAAACTTATCTGCTTGAATAACTGACAAAACCTTCATTTTTTCCTTCACCTCCTGTGTTGTCAAACCACTGCCCTTTCACGTCCCTCTACGTTCACAGAAACAAAGTCACAATGAGGTCAGGTGAGTAAGGTGCGTGGGGCGAGAGGTATATGCTGTTTTTTTGCCAAAAACTGGAGATGGCTGTGTGAGCAGGTGCACTGTTGTGGTGGCAAAACCAGCCAAAAATCAGGTATTTTTTGTCACACAATCTTTTCAGAACCTCTAAATAGAAAGCTTGATTAACAGTTTGACCTGGTAGAACGAACTCCAATGAACTCTAAACACATTTAAGGCAGGTGCCGGACATCTATCACCACTTTTAAATGAGAAAATCACTTGTACACTTTAGTTTTTCCTATAGTGCTGTCCTTGTAAGCCGTGTTCAACACCACAAGTTTCTGATGTATTTTTCCTGACCAGGAAACAAAATGTCACAGCTGCAAGCTTTATCAGCCATCACAAAGAGGGTCAAGCAAAATGCTTTTATGAAAAAATTCAGTGACCAGAGAACCTTCCCAGGCACTAATTCAAAGCAAGTTGCTAGATGCTCACCTGGTGGGAAAAATGCGTACTATGAAAGCTCCTGGAGCCAGCCCAATTCCGATTTGAGGGGTACTCCCTCATAGGTCACTGTTCAAATTCTGCCTGTATCTATCAGTATGAAACCAATTTACACCCATACCACTGAGGTTAACTACTGTTATTAGTCTGGGTACTTTGGAGAAACAAATCCACAGCAACTCATGGATAAGAGAGTTTTATGTAAAGAAGAGGTGCATCACGAAAACATCCCAACCCAGTGCTGCCCAAGCCCACAAGTCCAACATTAACCCATTATAACTCCACTTCACAAAACAGAGGCAATGATGCCGACTGCAGGAGGAAAGCTGAGTCAGTGAACGAACAAGCATCTCAGCACTAGCAGGGGTCTCCACACGGCTGCTCCAGCACCCAGGGCTGCATCGGGATAGGTCCATGTAGCTTCTCCTTGGGGATGTCTTGTAGGAAGTCAATCTTGCAAGCTGAAGCAGGGAACTGCTAAGGCAGCTGCACCCTGGTGCGACCATCACAAAGCAAGAGACCCGAGAACTAGAAAGGCTAGGCTCACCACCCATTTATCCCTCCGCCTTTCAATTAGCCCCACATGTGATTATCGGCCAGGTTGGCACAATTAACTAACTCAACTACTAACCTGTCTTTAGTTTTACAGGCAAAAGAAGAAGGCATAAATGGACTTTCCAGGGTCATGCAGTTCCAAACAGCTAATCTGAACTTAAGCAAGCTAGTTAGAGTTGGGGATCTTGGTAACAAATACAACAATTTGTAAAAAAGTCTTAAGTCTGCTTAATCTTTCAGACATATCCATCTTTAATTTGCATAACATTGAGAACCCTAAACCTCCTAATCCCAAATGGATCAAAAGCTCATTAGTCATCTGATAATGCAGACTTGGCGACAGCCATCATTGCCACTTCTGAAGGAAACCCAGTACCTGAAACCACTTGGAAAGCTACCAGCAAATAGCACCTTTAACTGGATTCCTTAACATTTGACCCAGAGAATGAAGGACAAGCCCCAATTTTGGCAATCCTAAAATGAAAACCAATGAATGAATGAGTACCTCTAAGAACAGAAGTGTATATCCATTCTTTTAAGTTAGCAGGAAAAGAAAAATACACAAATACATATAGCTTTTAGAAGCACATGTTTATTATATCAGCTTTTATAGTAATTATAGGGGGGGAAAAGTCCATTAGTTTATTTAGCTATGTGCTTAAATTACACAAGCACAACAAACAAGGCAATAATACAAAACCTAAGAAATTTACAAAGTTATATACAAATAATTTAATATTTCAAAGAAAAGACTGATACAGTCTATATGATCTCTTCAAGGGCTGTACAGAAACCTAGACCTATATAGTTTTTTTAAGAGGGACGAAAAATGAGTGCTTTAAAGCTTCTTTGAGAGTAATTCTTTTGGCTGGGTCATACTCCAACATTTTCTGAATGAGGTCAAACAGAAGCTCATGCTCGGCATCCTGAGAGAGCATAAATTCCTGGAAGAGAAAGAAACACATCCAACAGGTCTTTTCTACTGCCATTATCATTGATCTTACATCATCATCACAGAGAATGGAAATTCCGTTTTTACCATTAAGTAATGTCCCAGAGGCTTACCTTCAGAGGTTTACAACGTCTTGAAACATATCTTCCTGCAGATGTGTGCTCATCCCAGTCCAATTGGTCATGATGGAAATATTTACGTTTCCTGAAAATAAATCAATATTCTTACTTTTGTTGACACCAAAAACTTAAAAACCTTTACAAAGGTAATTGGCTTAAATTATTAAATGACTAAACTCAATGTAGTCATCGAAAAAATGTGCCTTGAGAGGGAAAGTGTGTGTGTTGGGGTTAGGGGGTGGAGAAGAAGCTATTATCAAGTTCAAGAAGAAAATGTTTTTAGCTCCCAATAAAATGGTTTTGGAAAAATTAAAGATGAAAAGTATACCTTGAGGTTTCACACAAAGGGGCTAGTACTGTTTTAAAATGTCCAGGTTTTGCCATAAAACCTCTGGCCGTATTTGTGAACTATAAATCCTCATGCAGTTTTGAGGACTTTTATCCATATTTGGGCAGGAGGAGCCCAAGAGGTATCACACAATGAAATTGATAAACATTATATTCCAGGTGGTGCAATTCCCTCTCTACACTTTTGACAACAGAAAAAAAATCTTTCTGAAAGAGTGCCAACTCTTCAATAAAATATACCTGGATTTCTGTATCATATGTTTCGGTAAAGGTCCAAGAATCCTTTCCATCATTGCCAAGTGCTCCTTGCTGTCATGTGTCTGAATAAAAAACAAAATTTTATCCACTTTGTAGTTTATTCTTAGGTCCACAGAAAGCCAAAGTAAAATGATTACTACAGTATATATGTTACTTTTATCTTTTTGTGTGTGTGTGTGTGTGTGTTACTTTTATCAATCACAGCTGATAGCCAAAAGCTGCTAAAGGCCTTACCATCAAGTTCACTTACTGCTTCAATTTTTATCCTCAAGCATCAAACGCAGTGTATGAAAGAATTGTGAAACTAATTATGGTACCAATTGTACAAATTGCTTGATGTGATTGAATTAGGGAACAATATTTATAGTAGCTCCAAATAAAATGGTTTTAGAAAAAAGCAGACAATTATGAAGAAAATATTAATGCTCTCCTCTCACTGCCATAGTCAATTCCAACCCATAGCAACCATATAGGACAGGGTAGAATTGCCCCTGTAGGTTTCCAAGACTTTTATAGGAATAGAAAGCCTTCTATTTCTCTCACAAATACACCAGGGTAGTAGAATTGCAAGATCATTTCATATATTTCCTGTAATTAACATAACCTTTAACCATAAAAAAGCTACTCCTCAATTTATGTACTTCAAATACTCATCTATAAAGCACTTTTTGGGACAATACAACTAAAACACCAAATTTTTACTTACCGGAAATACTGTGAACCCAAGGTAGTACTCAATAAGAATGCACCCTATACTCCACACATCACATGGCTGGGACCATCCAAGGGCTGGCAAAGCGAAGCCATGTGTTAGAAGAGAAAGGCATACGCAATGATTCTTTAAACGGAACGAAACAATTCCATGCAAGTACTAATACATTGTCACATATCAGGCAATAAATGATTTTTAATCCCCACTACATACTACAAATGTGCCAACTACATTCTAATAAGGTTAAGCCACTTGGTTCAAAGGATCTTTAGAATTTTTGGAACCGAAGAGCTTAAAGCCTTTAATATGTTCCTCCTCTTAAGGAAAAGCTAGAACTTCCAAGGCCTAAAACTACATTTTAAAGTAGCTCAATAAAAAGATCCACCATTACTTCCAGTTAAATCTAGAAGATAAATTACATTTGGCACTCTCACTGTATATACCACAGCAAGGGAACTGTTACAGGCCCCCAGCACAGTGACCACACACCTAATATAACTTCAGGTGCTCTGTAATGTCTTGTAGACACCAACGTACTGTGATGTTCATCATCGTATGTCGCACTTCCAAAGTCCACAACTTTAATATCTGGATTTATTAAAGTCCGTTCATCACGTTTCTGAAAAACGTAAATGATGATTAGGAAAGCATGAAGGGGGAGAGGGGGACCCCACTAATTTGAAATGACTAAAAATATACATTAAATCAAAACTTACCATTTTGGGGTTATAGGCCTCTGTGTAGTCTGATTGTACAAATAATATATTTTCAGGCTTTAAGTCGGTGTGAGTTAACTTATTACTGTGTAAAACTGAGAATGAAAGAATGTTAAAAATGGTACAATCTGAAAATCAAAAAAGGAAAGACAAAACAAAACCCTAAAACCCAACAATATAACAATTTCTGATGTCCTTCCCCACATACACATAGCAGTCAACATTCCAGTCAGTTAGCCCACCACCCATTACACTTCTTTAAAGTTACTCAGTTTACAGAGACAACTGCTTAAAAAGCAGGTGCAGGGGTGGGAGAAGAATAATTCTCTTACAAAGCTAAGCTCACTACTCTGTAATTTTTACTTCCCTGTTCTAAATTCCTATTTAGGAGTCAGAAAGACTAAATCAGTTATATGTTTGAGGCCATTGTGGCAGCCACTAATTGATTAAACACAAGTCTTTCTTTACACACACACACACACACACACACACACACACACACACACTCCTTATGTCAGGCCTCCAAACCCTGTATGTTATGCTGGGTCTTTTTCATTCACTTACTGATCAGTCTAATATTAAACTCACGTTTTTGGAAGACAAGCAAAGTACTTACAATTCACAGACTTGCATATCTGATATGCCATTTTCCTGATATGATCCAGTCGAAATGGTAGAAATCCATTTTCCTTAATGAAATCATAGGTACTAAGTCCCAGCAGTTCAAACACAATACAAATATGCCCATGATGTTCAAACCATTCCAACATTTGAACACAACGACTATAGACAAATGAAAAAGATTTTGAATGCAGCTTTTCATAATTCAAAACCAACTAAGGTGGTGTCCCAAGTTCTAATTTGATACTTACAAAGTACTATTGGGGTCTGTTGTATTTAAGTGTTCCAGAACTTGAATTTCTGAGCGAGCAGCTTCACAATATCTGTCTACATTTTTTACTATTTTTACTGCTACACGCCGATCTCCTCTGCAAAGGAAGTTAAAAATTGATCATTATTTCCATATATCTAGAAATTGATAAAAAGATTTCCCTATCATCCTCTTTACCAAGCCTTTCTTTCCTTGACTTTATGGCTAGCATTTAGTTAACTCCTCTCTTCTAATTGGAACTCAAGAGTAAACTACTAGAATAATTTGGGGGCATTAGTAGAGTTCATAATGCAAACATATACATGTCAAATGATAAAGATTTCTTTTACCAGATCACTATCCAATTGATATGTCTGCATCCTTCAACTGCAGTCAACCATGTCATTAACAGTGCTATTTTTTTTTAACAGTGCTATTTTTAACACATACATTGGCTACTATCACCTCAGTTTGCACCCCAACTTAAAACAAATGTATGTCAATCAACTTCTTCTGATGATCCCAATCAATGGAAAGTATTTCAAATCTTCCTTTGTGGGGGCATAGAAAGCCCTCTTTAAAAAAAAAAAAGCACTCTAGTCCTAACTTATCAGCGGGAACATTTCTTAATTACCATTCAGAACAATGAAGGGAACAAAATAAACAGTAAACAGAAAAGCTAAGCTTCTTCTTAAGCTACTTGAAACCATTGCAACCAGTTTAATGGGCATAAATAATCAAACCTGTGGAAGCAATCCAGAAGACTGCTCAGCTCTAACTGTATGCGTACTGAACTATGGCATATATATATTTAAAGGAAGAGATTCTCAGATAACTACCTTGAATGTTTCCTTGCCAAGTCTGGGTTAACAAAAGCTGAAATCACTCCTAGCCACTGATCAAGGGAAAAAACAAGAGACAACAACTGTGCCTAGAATACTTTTCAAAATAAAACTTGCTGTTAGCTTAAAATTAGGGCAGAGAGGTAGCATATACTATTAATAGCTAATGATTAAAAAAACAGAGTCAGTTACTGGTAATGAAGGTTTCATATATGAAATCCAAAGACTCAAAAAGGTAAAAAAGATAAATCTCAGAATCAAATTATATTCTAAAGCTAACAAATTGTCCTATACTTCAAAATTCCCCAAAGGTAAGCCCAAGGGCAGGAGACTCACCCTTTACGATCAATGCACTCCACTACTTTTCCAAAAGCTCCTTCACCTAAAGTATCAACAATTTCATCTAAAAGAGAGAAACAAGCCTAAGTCAGATAAAAAAACAGAAACATCTTACTTATAATAAATGCTATCAATGAAGATTACTCTAGATGATTCTACAAATTCCCTAGCACTAGTTATTTACTTTATTGGTCAACACCATCAAAAACATAATAAAATAATTAGGTCTAATTTCAAATTCAGGCTAATTCCATTAAATTTGATTTACTATTCTGAAAGTTCTGAATAACATACATAACATTTCTAAAGAAAGCAAAACACACTCCCCCCCCACCAAAAGAAATGAAAAGAGAAAAGGGGGGAGGGGGGGAGAGAGAGAGAGAGAGAGAAAGAAAAAAAGATTTCCAAATCCCTGAAATCTTAATCTACATATAGATTATGTTATCTGAAAAGTTAATAAGTGTTAAAAAATATTCTATACATCTTGCACTTAGTACGTCTCCACTCTGACAGATCAGGTGACCCTCCTCATCATCCTCTACACTCCTGGTTCTTTTCCTTCGGTGACTCTTCTGGTAACGTCAAGTGGGCGGCACCAAGATCATCCAGCCAATCAATATACCCGAGTGAATTCAGGGCAGAATACGAAATTCATTCAGCGGGGAGATATTCAGGCATTCAGATACACGCCAGGCCACAAACGGTTGGCAGGAGCAATTTCAAATTCAGTCCCCAGAAATTCACAGGGCACATAGTTTATGTTAACAGGAGAAAAACATGGCAAGGAACAGATTTTCAGATAAGATACTCAAAGTGGCAAGGCAACAAAACACAATACAATTGTTTTTTCTTTAAAAAAAACAAAAAATGCTTAGTTGTAGCATTCACTGAAACATAATTTTAAGTTTCTAGTGTCATAATTTAATGTTGCAAAACTGTAGGAGGTAGCATTTACTTGTCAAAATAGGCTGTGGCCAAATTAAAGACTTCCTAGCTAATCCAAGAAAATAAATACTGGAATAGTAAATAAAATTTTTAATTCTTCAGGGGAAAATATTCAGCTATGAGAATAACATTATGGCATTTTAAATGTTATCTGAACTAATCTCCAAAATTAACACATAACCCATAAAGTTAAAATAAAATCTCTTGCTTAGTGAAAAATATATTGAGCATGCTTGCTAAAACAGAGTGGCATATCTGAACCATGTAAATAAAAATGTCTTCATTTATTGTAACAAAGCTTCCACGTAGCAATAGTTCTTTACGAAAAAATTCTAACTAGCCTAAATAACTTCTTTGCTATTCACTATTTCACTGGAATGACAATTAAGATACCAACTAGTAATAAAATCTGCTCTTACAAAACTAAGTATGTACTGTATTTTCAGGAACTTCCTATCCAAAATAAGCATAAAGAATCCTGAAAGTTAAAATTGAGTTTACTTCATTCATCTTAAACAAAACTTTCTCAAATAGTCAAACATAATATACAATCTTCCTATTCCACATAGGAAATAAAATTTCCAAAAATTTAAATAAAGAGCACATACCCCATGGGAACGATGATGTGAAGTACTGTGAGGAATCTTGTGTTTGCTTTTATAACTACTTCTTCCACTTCGACCAGAAGACTTGCTACTATGGTTCTGATATCTGTTTTCATGGTCTCTATGGTAATGCCCAAGTTCACATCCTTGACTGTAGTCATTTCTGTATTCATCAATGTAGCGACGACTATGGTAATCTTTCTCATTTATAGATCTACTTTCCATGTAATGGCTAGGGACATTAAAATTATTTTCAATGTTTAAAGTGAATACCAAATATTTTCAAATTTTCAGTCTCTTAAAACAAACCATCATTGAAAGAATGGTAATCAACGGTTACTTATTTAAGTGATGTTTTATCATGAACACCTTTATACATTAAGACATTTCCTTTATTTAAATTGGCTCCTTACCTATCAGATGTTTTAGAATTATTATATTTGCAGCGCTTATTCTCCCGAGCACCGCTTTGTGATCTCTTCCTTCTTTTATAACTGCTACTGCTCCTCCATTTTCCACAATCCCAATCCTTTTCATCCCAATCAGGGCAGTAAGTTCTCCTTGAATGTCTCATCTACATGAAAAACAGAAACAAAACAAAACAAAGTTTTTTCCTCCATGTCAAAACTAGGTTGTTTAATATAAATCTCCTTTGTAAATTTACCCTAGATGGGACATTTGAAAGCAAACTTCAAGTCATTTTCTAGCCCTCTCCCAAAAGTAAATCCAATCACTAGAGTGGTAAAAGATGCTGGACTTCACGCATATAAAGTCTGTATTATTCACATCATGCCTGGGTTAAGCATATGTATTCAAGCAATTTAAGAAAATATGAGAAAAACACCCCAATCTAGTAATTTTGGTACAGCATTTCTGCTAGTCTACCAGTAGAACTATAAAATTACATACAATCTTCCTCACTTAACAGTCTATCAGAAATTAGCCTTCAACTCCAGGCAATGATAATATTCTTGTCACTTATCAAAACAGATTAATTACATTTGCAAATACACACAGATGGTTTACTCTGTAAAGGAGTAAATCATTCTACCAACCACGGATTTTCACTACCAATTAAATCAATGATGGCACCGCAGAACCACCACCACAAAGCATCTTTTCTTTCAAGTATCACTTTCCAGCCTGCACAACTTCAAAACGTAGCTTATTCTGATCTTAGCACGTCAATTTGTGCCAACGGGAGGAAAGCACCCTCTTTCAGAAGGGATTCTAGTAAAATGTGAGAACTAAAAAACATTATATTGGCACCGTACAATTATCTCAGATTTCATTTCCTAACTATTACTAAAATTTCAGAAAATCAATTGAGTATTCTTATTACTTGGACTCTGCCTACACCAAGTCACTGCAGTGCTGTTCACGATAAGCCAAAGGGGGAAGAACCCCAATGTCCATCCACAGAAGAATGAATAAGCAAACAAACGCGTCTTATCGATACCGCTGCTGCCCAACACGTAACAACCCTGTGGGGAAGAGCAGAGCTGTACTCTCTCCCCGACGCAGCAGCTGGATGCTGACCAGGGCTTAACCAAGCCGCAACCAGGGCTCTTGAGCCAGTTACAGTCACTGAGTAAAGGGTACTGAGTTTCGGTTAGGGAATTCTGGATATGCATCCTAATAACGGTTGAGCATTAATTCACCGAACAGTTCAATGTTAAAAGCTTAAAATATAAAATGTTTTGCTATATGAAGTTGCTTCCAAACGGTCTCAGAAAAAAATAAAATTAAAAATAATATTCTTGGGGGAAATGGGGAACTAATAACAGAGTACAAGAGAGAAGAAAATGTTCTAAAATGGATTGTGTTAATGACTGTACAGCTCTTCTTGGCAGGATTGAGCTATTGATTGCATGATATGCAATTGTCCCAATAAAACTTAAATTCTTCCACAAGGCTTCGGCAGCCCCCGGTCCAGACCTGGCCAGGATCACCCCGAGGGATGTGCATGGGGTACACACAAGCCGTGGTGGTCAAGGGCAAGGAACTAGGCGAATTCAGGTGGAGAAACCGTCTATGAGGCTGCGCCCTTCAAAGTTGTCGCCGTAAAAAGGAATTCAGGGAACTGTCTTTTTAAACGTTTAAAGCAAAAAAAGTGACGCATTTGTACATTTCTTGGTTCAAAACCAGAACTCATTCTACAAAACGTAAAATTGAGCGTGACACATGAAACGACCCAAACACGAAGTCAGTAAATGTTCCCCCAGTTGTCATCCCAAGGGAGGGGGGAGTGTGTGTGAGTGCGTGGACAGGGCCACACACGCACTGCCGGTCGCTCCGGGGCCGCGTCCGTCTCCGCGGAAGGCAAGACACCCGCGGTGATCACGCCAATCCTCGGTGAGCCCGCCATTCCTAACAAACACATTTCCGCCCCCGAGCTGGACTCGGACACATTCCAGCCCCCACGCCAACGCCCGCCACGACGACGCGGAGCTAAGCCCAGCCCTGCCCCCACCCCGCCGCCATTTTACGGCGCGGCCGAGGCGGCGCCGAACAGGCGACCCACAACATGGCGCTCCCGGCCCGGCCCCGCCGCAGAGGAAGCCGCCTCCCCCTCAGCACCGCCGACAGTTGGCGCGGGCCGCTCCTCCCGCAACAACGGTCACTACCCCCCCCACCCCGAGTCCGGGAGGTCGTGGGAAGCGGGCAGCGACGCGCTCGCGAAGGCAGAGCGGGCAGGCGCGCCGCCTTTGTGCGCAGGGGCCGGCAGGGAGTCGTGCAGGGGCACGGGCGCTCCCGAGGCACGGAATAAGGGCCCGGCGTCTACCCGGCCCTTCAGCATCTTACCGTTCTGGTCAGAGGCCAGGCGACAGTGACAGAAGGTAGACCCGGCTGACAGCGACGAGCTCAGACAACAAAATGGAGCTGACGGGAGCGCCGCCCGCAGTCTCCGCGAAAACAACCGTGACGTCGGCGTGCGTCCCCCTCGGGGGCGGGGCCAGAGGCCGCGGCGCGTGCTCTGCGTGTGCGTATGCGCATGCGCCCGAACGCGGGCGAGTGCGTGCTGGCGGCGGCCATTTTAGCTTTAGTCTCCGTTCGTCTTTTGCGGAAAGCTACTCTTCCCTTGTTCCAGACTCAATCGTTTTCCTTATGCACGAAAACACGGCGGGGGGATCGAAATGGTGCGGTACAAGGCACAAACTTAGGAAAATCTTTTTTTTAAAAGTATTGTACCTGCACCAAATAGCTGCAGATTAGTAATTGACTGGATTTGGACTTTGGCCAAGGTCTGGGGTCTATATAAAGTTCAGTCTTAAAAAAAATGTCTTTAATGTTTGGGGACCCCGTGGACTGAGGTTGGATCAGAAAGATTTCCCCTTTTTTAAAGTACAAGAGATACGGGAAATTGAACTTTACGAAGTGAGGACTTAAAGGCAATCGACATTGGCAGCAGGTCCGGACTCTGCAGGAGGAAGCAAGCTCTGGACGAAAATAAACTACGGTTGGGTATGCGTTAGAGCTTAAGTTCTGAGCACCCGTTTACAGGAAATGCATGACACGGGAAGCCCAAAATCCACTTGCAGAGCCCACATTTGAATTAAAACTCCTTTGAATCCTGCGTTGTCAGTCGAGTACATGGAAAATGGATTCCCTCCAGCCAGCCTAGGGAGGGGCAGTCTCCCTGAGGGGCTTGCCTGGGTGTATCCTTGAAGAACCCATCTTCACTTAACCCTAACAACCAACAAGAGAAGCATCACTTTTTTCTTTGGCTATTGCAGTAAAGTTATAGTGAAAAACGTACAGAGAATATTGTGTAGTGTATTTGATTTTAAATACCAGAATGCAAAATCCCAGCTTGAAAGACCATGAAAATCTTAGTACATTTTGAAACATTTGCTTTCTAAAGTGATTGTGCAAACATCCAAGTCCACAAAATTTGGAAAATAATCAAATGTTTATATCTTAAGATAATCATTTCAGTGCACTCTGTTTTAAAAGATAACACAACAGACACATCATCTGATAAGGGTGGCCATGAGCACAGGGTCAAAATGGCATCCAAGGATTCAGTCTTGACACTAGTGGTGCGTCTCGGAACACAGGAAACCAGCACAAGTCAACAGTTGGTGGCAGTTACAGTAGGAGTACAGAAGCAGGGCCAGGGCAGGGCCGTGACTGGGACACACACATTGTTAGCTTACAACTGTCCTGAACATTTGACCAAGCCCCATCTTGACCCCACCACCCCACACCCAGGCACGCCCCTAAGAGACTGCCCCTATAATCCTGGCTCAAGGAGGATGGAGGTAATACTTTCAAGTACTCCGCCTGAGGGCAAGATTATTTCGACCCTTGGTTAATGACATCACTACCATTGAGTGATTAATTGCTTGAGTGGGTGATGAAACAGCAAAGCTCCTTCTATGTATGGAACACTTCTTACATGCCAGCAGCTTTGCACACATCCCAAACCACTGCCATCTCGTCAATTCCGACTCACAGTGACCCTATATAGGCTATAAATCTCTACAGGAAGAGAGCCTCAACTTTTCCCCAAGGAGCTACTAGTAAACTTGAACTGATGACCTTGGGATTAGCAGGTCATCCATTACTTATCTGGGAGTGTCATTCACTTAATTCTCAACAATTTGAAGAAGAAATAATATTACTATTATGGATGGAAAAATGAAAGCTTAGAGATGTTAACAAGTCATACAGTAAGAGATGCCACTGTGATTCAGACACAGACTTGGACTCCACAACTGGTGCTCTGAATCAACTCAGTTTTAATGGCTAGTCTCCAGAATCCTTATTCTGTAATATCTTAAAAGAGCTACTGTTAAGAAAACTGTTCTAAAAATAAGTCAGTTGGAGAATGCTGAGTGTTTACTGTGCTCTGTGGTTTTACTACACATCTAACACCTACAGAAAATAGCCTGTGGACAGGCTACCCTTCCAGACTATTCCTGTTCTAAATGCACAGGATAAATCATTTGAAAATCATCCGGAATATGAACTAGGAATAGGTAAGTAGAGTGCTTAACACTGCCTAGAGTTAATGAATAGGCTCCACATTTAAAAACAAATATGTATTTATCACAAATTAAACAACTTTTATATAACAATGAAAGAAATATGTTAACACGTGTCGTAGAGAATATGCTCCGAGGAGGTAAAAGATGTCTCTCTCCTCCCTGAACCACCAGCACACAGGTCTTAGTTGCAAACACGCAGGACGATGATGCAATTTCTGATGTAATTTCAACTGGTTAAACCACAGTAGGTGTCTTTCGAAAGAAAGCAGCTTGCCAAGTATCTGCTATGCTTATTACAGCTACTGAGCAAATGGGTTAGCATGAATAGTTATGTCCTTAATATGTACATCATTAAGAGGTCGGAATGTCTTCTCGTTGACTGGTAACTTCTCCAATTCATCTAGGGTCTCCAGACCATCTATTACCCTAAAAGAGAAAAAATATGTGAAAATTTCCTCAGACTGAAACACAGTATTTATCTGCAGAAATCATACCCTGTTTGAGAGAAAAGGCTCAGCTGTCAACTAAGTGCTCATGGCAGAAGCAAACCAGTCAATGTGATCCAAGGAATCAAAATAATAAAATCCAATTCGGAAGGAGGAAATGGTATCAGAGCTTAAATTGTGAATACCCAGTTTACAGAGGCTACAGATGGCAGTGGAAGCCCAGAATCCAGGGCAGGGTCCCCACATGTATTAAATCGTAAATTCTTTCTGACCACAGTCAGGGGAGGTGAACAGCCTTGCTAAGAGGCAGAGAACATTGTAAAGTTGTGGTAGGTACATAATCTGTTGTCAATTTGAGATTTAAGAGTGAAGGGGTGGGGCTTAGCCTGTCAATCAGGTGACAGCTTGATGACCTCATTTGGAGGTGATGAGATAAATAGCTCACTGGAGGAGGGACAGGCCATCATTTCCCTGAGACACATTATTGATGATGAGCCTGACAGCTACGCTGATGCAGCCAGTGCCCTGGGAGCTAGAGGAGCCATGTGGAGACCCCTGCCAGCGCTGAGATGCTTCTACTACCACTGGATCCACAAGACTTTCCACCCACTGGCCTGTGATCTTCCTGAATTTGGCATTATGGACTAGTATTGGACATATGGGCTAATATTTGACTTATGGACTTGATCTGGACCGGGCTGGGATGTTTTCTTGATGTACAATTTACTTTTTGATATAAAACTCTCTCTTACAAGTCTCCCTGTGGGGGGGAGGTCAGATGCACAGGCATTCCCTCCCTGAGGGCAATCAGTTGCCAGACTGCAGTGGGCCCTACACCCTGCTACTGGAGACAATGGACAGGCCTGCAGTCATCTATTTGGTTCCTGTAGATGGAGTTTACTCCCTACTGATGGTTCCTATGGAGACCCAGAGACCAGGTCAAAGTTAAGCTGCCATCCTTTACCTAGGATCCGCCCATCTTGTCACATGTATAACCCCAATTCTCCTCTTCCTATTGCGGGTATGTCCCTAGACCACCCCCTCTCACTGCTGTATAACCTATAGTGCAACCCCTTCCTGTGATGTATGTCTTTACCTGTAATTAGTGGGCTTGCAAGCCCCCAAAAGGTATATAGGCCTGGGTTAACGAGAGAGGTCTCTCACAGGTCCCGTTCGCCTCTCTTCCCCCTCTCCTCTCCTCTCCCGTCCTCTCTCCCTTGTTCCCTTTCCCATCCTCCTTCCCTTCCCCCTCTCTCCACTTGGACCACTAAGCGGGGCTGAGGAGAGCAATGCTACCATAAAATGTGTCTGACTGCATTATTGCAATATCTCTTCTAGCGCTCATGCTCTCGATGACTTTTATATACATCTCAACCGTACAATTGTGCTTACTGAACCCGTGGGTAGTGGTGGGGGTCTGGCTCCCACAACCTAATACTACCTCCCTGGATTTGTTTCCTGAGTCTACCTGAACACAAAAGTCGATGGCGGCAGATGTAGTTAGGTTAAAATGTAAGACCTTAGCATTTGATGTCTTTTTGGACCTATTTTAAGGCTGTTTCCAGTTTTAGTATTTTCTGCTTTCATTTTGAGGATTTTCTGTTTGGCTTAGTCATGGTTGTTGGTTTTTTTTGTTTGTTTATTTTCTTCCTGTTTGTTTTGCAGGGTTTCCTGTATATGGAATCCAGAATAGGTAGATCTGGAGAGTAATTGGACTGATCTTTTCTACAGCACGGCAGGAAAGGGTAAGGGAAGCAGGAACCAGTAACAAGGAGTTCAAGTAGGAAATATTCTGAAATCGATTGTGATGGTTGCACAAATCTTCCTATGATTTAATGATATATGAGGTGTAAGCCAATAAAACAAGACTATTAAAAAAAAGGAGAATTTGCATTTCCGCTTCAGATATACTGCATCAGCATATTTTTTAGAACTTATGTATACAAAGGATCATGGGGGATCTTGTGAAAGGGGGGATGCAGGTTCATATGAGGGAGAAATCAGAGAAAAGAAGGTGACACAGAAGGGAGGGTGTGTGTGTGTGTGTGTGTTGAACTCTTGAATGAAGAATTGATGGTCTGAAATGTAGCCATCCCCACTAATTCATAAAAATAAAAATTATTTATGAAAAACAAAATACTCACTTTCCAAATACTGTGTACTTCATGTCCAAATGTGGCTGCTTGCCATAGGTGATAAAGAACTGGGACCCATTGGTGTTTGGGCCATTATTAGCCATGGACACAACACCTCTAACGCTGTGCTGGGAAAGACCAAAGGGTTGATGTAAACGTGCTTATATATGCACACCCTACGTATTACAACTGAAACAACATATACTATTTTTGCAACTGTTAGGTGCCATCAAGTTAACTGTGGCTCATCGGGACCGAAGTACAACAAATGAAAACACTGCTTGGTCTTGCACCATCCACACAATCATCACTATGCTTGAGAGCAAGCAGGCAGTCACTTCCCCACAATCCATGCCCCTGGAGTTTCTTCTTTGCTGACCCTCCCTCTCTTTGGGAAGCATGCCAGCCTTCTCTGGGGATCCGCCCCTCTTCATAACATGTCCAACCTCACTTGTAAGGAGAACTCCAGCTGTGCTCTAAGCAATGTGGTCCCTCTTCTGGCAGTTCATGGTATAGTAAATATTCTTCAACATCACACTTCATAAACATCAACGCTTTATTCTTTCTTATTGTCCTTCATGTTATCCTGTACTCTTTACTTTCTAAACACTTAAAGGGACCAAGAAAACATGTAATCTGCTTCTCTTTATTAGTTAATCAATTTGTATATTAATTGAACCCCTAAAAACCTATATGTAAATTGTTGACATATCAAATCATATCCCTCCATTAATTTTATATTCACTTTGGAGAAGTACAGCCACAAACTCTCTTGGCAAAACCAATGCACAGCGGAAATGCTCCTCACATTGATAGTAAGGAACTGAGTGTGGGCAGGAAAGGATCACAAAGACACATCCCAATCCCCACGACCTCACTCTGCGAGTTTCATTTTCTGCCAAGCAAGGGAGGCTGGACTACTGGTGGAACTGCTTCAGGGTCTCTTCACAATTCAAATGGACACAAGGCTCAGTCAGACAGAGAATAGACTGATACCTGGGCAGAGTGTAAATAGGGAATGGTGGAATCTGCTAAAATGAACAGTGCCACCCTTGCCCAGTGGTCTTTGCATTTTTAAAAAAATTAATACATTTGGGACTATTTCATATATGGACAGCCAATTCATAAGCCACGAGCTGGATAACCTATGAAAATTTTCACCCACTCTAATTATTGATAATATTTTCTATATTAGAGACTTTGCATGAGAATTAGAAGGGCTTTACTGATAAAGAAAACTTCAAGAAATGACCAAGAACCATGGTATATGGAGGTGTTCAAATACATTTTACAACTCCATTGATTCCAATCTAGCTATTCAGCAGACTAGTTAGACAAGCCATTGATACAGCTACATAAAAATATTAATACTTTATTGTCTCCCTAACTAGTGGTTACTAATCAAATATAATTGGCACATACACAAGAACATACATATCATTAGTAATAATATATGCCTATTAACCTACTTCTTAAATTTAAAACTTAAGACACACTAATAGTGTTGCATATGTCTATAAGCTCCTCTTCAATCCAACCCTCTGCCCTTGTGATCAGAGACAGCCAACATTCTATGTATGCTAAGTATCACAGTATTTTCTTTTGCTCACTGGTGAGCCTTTAAAATGGTATCAAACTCTTTTAGTCTTCTGGAATGTGGGATACAGAAAGATTTCTCCCAAGTTGTCTCCCCCAAATATATGCCAAACTCAAGATGCTGCTTGCTACACATGGTAAATGACTGTACACTAGGAGATCAACGAAAGTAGGTCAGAGGTTATTCTCCTTAAGAGTATCAGCCATCTAGAGCAACCAGACTGTACAGTCTGACTCACCCAAAGTAGGGCCTCCCCAAGTACGGCCCACTCCCTTCTGACACTGTTCCCTTGAAGGAGTACCTGAACCCGCGACCACTCAAGGATGAGTAAAGGTAGGCTACTATATTGAGTCAAGGGTCCGCCCATCTTGCCACATATGTACCCCTATTCCCTCCCCGTCCTATTGCTTGAATTGCCTATGTTACAACCCCTTCCCATGATGTGGGTCGTTATCTGTACTCAGGGGGCTTGCATGCCCCCAAAGATAAATAAGCTTTGGTTAGAAATAAAACCTCACGAGAGAGAGCTCTCGCCTGCCCTCTCTGCTGCCCATGCTGTGCGCGGACCTGGCTGGTGAGATCATGGCCGTTCAGGAGGTGAGCATGCTACCATGAGATGTGTCTGACTTCTTTATTTTACTGTCTCTCTCCTATTCTCGATGACTTTACTATAATCATTGTATATCTTAACCGAACGATTGCGCCTACGGAGCCCACAATTAGTTGTGGGGGGGCTGGTTACTCCCACGCTGGAACATAATTTTTAAATTTAACATTATTCCTAAGATTCATACAGGTAGATGTGGCTGCAGTTCACTGTCATTTTACGGACTAAACAGCATCTCACTATTGACTGGACTACAATTTATTCTATCAGAGACATTTAAGTTGTTTCTAGATCTCTGCCATCACGAACAGTGCTCCCAAAGCACTACTGCACGTATTTCTGTGCACAGCTCCTTCAGGACATAAGCACTGAGGAATGGAATGTCTAGGTGATAATGCGAATATTCAACATACATATCAAGCGTGTAAGGCAACAGTTCTTACTGTGACTGCACTGGAAATATCCTGGGAATCTCAAGATACAGTCAAACTCTAATCCAGGGGTCCTCAAACGTTTTAAACAGGGGGCCAGCTCACTGTCCCTCAGACCCGTTGGAGGACCACACTATAGTTTTAAAAAAAACTATGAACAAATCCCTGTGCACACTGCACATATCTTATTTTGAAGTAAAAAAACAAATGGGGCAAAAACACCCGGCAGGCCGGATAAATGTCCTTAGCGGGCCGCATGTGGCCCGCAGGCCGTAGTTTGAGAATGCCTGCTCTAATCAGTCCTATTGACTGTTATTTTTCTCCTATTTTTAGTGGGTAGCATATGGTGAGGTAAGACCTTTATTTTCTATATATTTAAAATTTCCAGATGACTGTCATAGCCAAGATTGACAAACGACTGGTACAGGATGCTAAAGAATACTAGATTAGTGTTACAGAAGTAGTTATTAATTCCTGCCATAAAAAAATGGCTTAGGAAAATGTGGTAAAGAAAGCTGATGGTGGGGGAAAAAATGAGGAGCTAATGCCAGGGGCTTCCGTGGAGAGCAATTGTTTTGAGAATGATGAGGGTAACGAATGTACAAA